TCAACTGCCTGTGCCACCCTGGCTACACGGGCACTCACTGTCAACAGAAGGCCAACCCCTGCCTCTCCAGGCTGTCTGCAGCCAGGGCCGGATAGGAGCCTCCCCTGTTGCCGACACTATGTGATTCCTGCTAGACTCTGGTAGGTTGGCACAGCCACATGCCCTGTGAAAATGGGGAAGATGGCCCGTGTCCAGGCCCCTGTACTGCTTTTTCCCCACTGCCCCAGGTGGAGTGTCTCTCATTTTATGTTTTGAAGAAAAACAACAAAAACCCACAAAAAAACTTTTAGCTTCAAGGAGCTTTTAATCTACAGGCAAAAAACCTAAACGCTGAGTTTTAAATTTTTATTGCAATATCTTGTGCATAAGGATGTATTACAGACTCTTAAGAGTTTTGTCCACCAAAGATCTATGTTCTCTCCCTCCTAAATTGTAAAAGTTAATGTCTTATATTTATTGAAATATACAAATTCTATCAAACAGAATCCTACTTGGGTCTTCAGTAAGCTACTATGCATTTAGGGACTACTGTGTTTTACTTCTTTTTTTTGAGACAGGCTCTGGCTATATAATTCAGGCTGGCCTTGAACTCACTATAGAGAGCCCAGGCTGGCCTCTCACAGCAATCCTCCTGCCTCAGCCTCCGGACTGCTGAGATTACAGCAGTGAGCCACCACACTCAGATCGCTTCTTTTCATATGGAGTCCCACAACTTGGGCAAAATCCTCACTCTGGAGCATCACTTAAACTAGTGCTCCAGTCTTCACATTACTAACCTCTTATGCCTCAGTTGGCCCCACTTTATGTTTACAGTAGTGGGAACTGAACCCAGGGCCTCATGAATGCTAGGGAACCACTCTACTACTAAGCTATGTCCCCAGGCAGCCCGCCAACCTAGCCCTCCTTTTTTTATTTTTTTGAAACAAGGTCTTGCTAAATTGCCTGGGCTGGCCCCAAGCCTGTGATCCTGCTCTTAAACTCTCCATACTATCAACCTAACTTATGGGAACAGAATTAGTGTTCAGTACGTGCCCGATAAATGTGAGTGATTAGCCGTCATTCTAACTGCAAGCTTATAAAAGCTGACAGCATTTACAGATGAAGAAAGAGAGGCTGAAATATGAAGGTATTTAGCCAGGCACAGGGTCACGTGCTTGTAATTCCAGCTACTTGGGAGGCAAGAGGATTCAAGTTTAAGGCCACCATGGACAACTTCTGAAGCCTATCTCAAAACAAAATTTTAAAAGGGCTAGAGATGTAGCTCAGTGCTTGCCTAGCAAAGGCAGGGCCCAGGGACCTGGGTTCCATCCCTAGTACTATAAAAAGGAGAGGAAGAAGGGAGGGAGGAGAGAGAAGGGAGGGAAAGAAAGGAAGGAAGGAAAAAGGAAGGGAGAGGAGGGAAGGAGGAAAGGGGAACTTATCCCTGCTCACCAAACTGTAAGGTAATGGAACAATGACTTACAGTCTTACTCCAAAATAACGACCAGTATAAAAGACACACTTTCGGTAAGAAATTGAAACACAACTACATTCCAGCATATTACTGAAATAGTTACAAAGCTTTTACACAATCACAGAGATACTTTTCAGATTCGACATACTATTTAAAAATCACAAAAGATTTGTTTTTGTAAATTGTGCACACTAAAGCAGACTACTGAAATCAAGTCTAAAACATTAGTCTATAGGAAAGAACATTGGTGCTGAAACACAGGTTATCTTGTACATATTCCTAATTGTCTGGTTCCTACCCCAAGGTCACAAACTTTGTAAATGATAGGTCTTATTCCCAAGTCAGGGCTTATGGGCCCCTCTCATTTCTTTGATCTGCCTAACTCTGCATCCAAATTCTCTCTTTTTTATTTTATTTTATTTTATTTTTGCATCCAAATTCTTAATGACTCCCAAAAATGTTATACATGCTGTTAGCCACTGCCCAGTTTTTGGTTAAACTTAGCTTTAGTAAAGTCACCAATGACTTCCGAACCCCCTTGTCCCAAAGCTGGTTACTGGTTTTTCCAATATTTCATGTACCTTGGACATTGTGTTCCTGAACTTGGACTTTTAAAACTATTCACTTTAGAGATGGAAAGAAGTCACAGCAGAAACAGAATACCTAGTATCTATTACACTAGACTAAGAAGAGATCTAGAAATTCTAGCCCAATCTTCTGGTTATAGAAATGACCCAAAGACAGACAGTTCAGTAACCTTTCTCAATATAGTGATTACCAAGAGTTGAGGCTGGTTGCCCACCTTGTATATATTGAATAATTCTACCTCCATCTACTCTATGAAAGGGAAAGAGGCTGAGAATCTCTGCTATTTTGAATAAAAAATCTGACTGTTTTTCATGTTGCTCTTTAAGCAGTTTTTGATACATCAGTCTCACCTACTTCCTAGACAAATTCTCTTTCCCATTCACCAAAAAAAAAAAAAAACCAGGCCAGAGATTTAGCTCAGTGGTTTTGCCACCTGCTGCGAAAGCACAAGGACCCGAGTTCAATCCTCAGTGCCAAAAAACAAAAAAACCCAAAAAAACCTCACTTTAGCACATATGTCAGAAACTTTAGGTTTCACTCTTTATTCATCATTTCAATTAACTCCTTATTGAATCACTAATTTGTCAAAAAGAAAAGAAAAGGAACGAAGAAAAAGAAAAAGCATTTCGGGTTGGAGATGTAGCTCAGTGGTAGAGCACCTGCCTAGTAGGACCTGGGTTCGATCCCCAGCACAAGAATATACACAAACCCCTCACCCACCACCACTAAATAAATAACTAATCTATCACTCATCATTCTTGTTTACTAGTCCATTACTTCCTTGAAAGTAAGTTCAGATTATAGGCTGGTTAGTTAGCGCTCAAGCCTGAATTCCAGATGCTGCTACACCCACAGCATTCAAAAAAATCTTCATCTCCCCACTGCTAATCAAAAAAATGAAAACCCCCTCCCAGTTACCATCTCTAAAAAATTATGTTGCTTACCTCCCTCTCCAGGTTTTTATCCTGCCATGGCTCTACAAACTAAAATGAATATTCTTTGGCCCCGAGTTCATGTGGTATCAAACAGGAAAACTACAGTAATTCTGAATTGCACAAGGTAACTAACGAACTATAAATAACTGAAAAGTGAGTGAAGCATGCTGTTAGAATCCTCAAAATTAACACATATATAGGAAACACTCGGTTATTAGAAACTCTTACAAATAGATAATGGTGTCAATAACCATTACAAAACACTACTGAAATTTATCATCATTTTGAAGTTCACAAATTTCTTGAATACAAGCAATTCAGATCTAAAAGCTTATAGAAGTGCCTCCTATGCCACACAGGGACCAGAAGCTAGGAATACATAGATGAATAAAACGCAGTCTTGCCTTCACAATCCAAATAATGCCAATAAAGTTTCTTCCACTTTAGTACGCACTCTTCTACACTGCTTTTTTGCCCCTTTGCCAGCTATTTCCATCAGCTGTGATTATGTTCAGATCACTTGTATTCTACAAGAAAGACAGATTAAAGATGTTTTTTCACAAGGGGAAAAAATTCCCTGCTCCACTAGTCTGATAAGATAAAGGACAAAAGGCTGGGAGTCAAGATAAACTTTCCTTCTAGTGTTCCCTTTGGAGAAATCACCAATCTAGCATGCTTGTCTTTCAAAGCCCAACTAAACAAGCTGTGGAATAAACACATCAAAAATCAGCAGGCCTCTTCTAAACGTGGCATTTAAGGGGTAAGCCACATCCAGTTTTTTCTATTTTATTTGTAGAAACAACTCTTTGCAGCATGAAAGCATCTTATTAATAACACTCCAGAATAGTGTTGGTATTTAAAGTCTAAAAACTTACTGATCAGAAACCTATGCCAAGACAAGGCTAAAACTCTAATCAGGGTGAATCATAGCAGCCACCTACTCCACCCAAGTGTCACTCACGCCAAGACTGGACAGTTCAAACCTGGAAAGCTCTCCTGCTCTCTCTATCATGTCAGAAATAAATTCATTCCAACGCATCAGGGCTCAAGGGTAGCTGTTCAATAGCAAGAGAATGTTACTAACTACCAAAACTGACCAGGACGTTGTGTTCTTTAGATTTGGCTGAGCCCTTTGCATTTATTGTCTGTCCCTCTCCCTTCTTACCAGGGAAAAGCTCAACAGATAACTCCTCCTTGAAAAATGAAGTATCTGTTCCGATTTTCCATTACTAGATGTGGGAGAAGAACCTATTACGGAGTCTCTATGGGAAAGGTCTCTATGCCTTCTTTCAGCTGCTGGAAGCCTGTGAACTGAGTAGAGACCTTATTGACGGACACTCCTCAAAAACTATTTCCCAGTAAAAGGTAAGGAACCATTTTCAGTCTTGGGCAAACCTCCTTGGATGTTTCAAAGTTTTAGCAACCCAGCATCTGCTAGATTTATTCATCCCTGGAAAAGTAGCTCCGTGGAGTCTCTAGCACTGAAATAACCCAGTAAGGCAGCCAGGGTTTGCTCACCTTTGTAAACCCTCTCGACTCCGGAAACTCCAGGCAAGCCCGTGCCCACAAAGCTTTCACGGAAGGGTCAAATCGCACAAAAAAGACTGCGCCCCGCCGCCCCTCGCTCCCCCACCCGGGCTCACCAGGACCGTAGTGCAGATGGACCGCAGCTCCGACTCCACTTTCTCCCGATAGTCCTTAATCAGCTGCAACTTCTTGTCGGAGGTGTCAGTTTTCTGCTCGATGCTCGAGATGACCCTCCAGGCGGACCGGCGGCCCCCGACCACGTTCTTGTAGGCCACCGAGAGCAGGTTGCGCTCCTCGTTGGACAGCTCGGCGCCCTGCTCGGTCACTGCCTTCATGCAGGTGGCCATGTCGTCGTAGCGCTCGGCCTGCTCGGCCAGCTTGGCCTTCTGGATCAGCTCGGTCTTCTCCATGGCGCTGGTGGCTGGGGAACCCGGGCGCCGAGGGCGAGGATAGCGAGGGCGACCCGGATCGGGAAGAGTCCGCCTCAAGAGCTGAAGGGGCGGGGCGGCGCCGGCGAGGACAAAAAGCAGGGAGGGGAGCGCGTCAGACAATGCAGCCCACTGCCCGCTTTGTCTCCGCGCACACGCGTTCCGCTTCGATCTCCCTCCCCGCGCCCGCACGCCCGCCAGTTCCGGGTGCCGGAGTGACCGAGGCCAGAGGCCCACGCAAGAGGAGGCGGAGACCCGCGTGCAGGCCCGGGGCGAACTGAGCCCGCCACCCCCGCCCGGCCGACTCAAGATGGAAGCGGCCGTTGGCCCCGCACCTTCCCGCCGCTAGCCGTTCCCTGAGGCGAACGGCGTCGCTAGCAGCTCGCTCCGAGGGCAGCATCCCCGCCCGGCCCTCAGGCCCCAGCTACGGTCAGGGGACGCCAGAGGAAACCCCCCAGGTGCTCACCTTCTCTTCTCCGCGGCCGCGACGCGAGTCCCACCACTTTGATCGGCTTTTGGCTTTAGCCGAGGACCCTCCCGTCGCCACCTAACATGGAGGCGAGGTGCGAGCAGCCGCCCAATAGCGAGCCGCATCTCACCATGGATTCCAGCCTCCCGCCCTGCCTCTGACCAATGAGAGCCGAGCGCGCGGAAGGGGGTGCGAGGGGCGGGATGTGAGGGGAAGCAGAGGCTAAGAGGGTGGGTCGGCCCGGACAAGTTCGGTTGGCCGGCAGGCTGCGGCTTCGGCCACGGGGTTTCCTCCAATTAGATCCAGGGTAAAAGGACGTCACTGTTGCCATGGCGATGCTGTTACCAACTCCCCTCATCCTCCCCGCCGCCCAGGCGCTTCTGGGCGCGGCCGGGGACCGCGAGGCGCGCACGACCTCCCCACCCCCAGCTCCTGCTGCAGAGGTGCTTTGCGGCGCGCTGCATCTGGCAGCTGGCCGGGCCCGTACTGGACTTCGGAGGGTGACATGATCGGCCGCTGTCTTGCACAAGCGTCTTTCTTTTTTTTTCTTTCTTTCTCCCCCCCATCCCTCCACCTTTTGTATTCGTGACAAAGGTTTGAAGCTCAAGACGCTAAACCTAGCCTTTCGTGCATGACGTTGCTGTTAGGGCTGCGAATTAGAAATAAACCCATCCCCATTAAGGAGGAATTAGTTCCCGGAGAAAGTGGCGTAAGTGTAACTTTGACCTGATACATTCAAGTTTTCAGACAGGCTCCCGAAACCAGATTCCCTTGGAGAGAGGTAGCTCCCAGGAGACCCGGGCGGATCGCTGGTATTGCTTTTTTTTTTTTTTTTCCTTAAATGAAAAATGACATTTAAGCACAATTTATAGAAAACGACCCATGACTACGCACCCACCCCAAAGCAATTTTTAGGTCTTTTCTACCTTTTCCAGATTATGCATCTAAGTATAGATATAGATACAATTTCACACTGTCATCTGTAAAGCATATGAACACTTTTTAAAAAAATTATTTCCTTGTCTTTCTGAGAAGACACTTGACTCCAAGAACGTTCCCCCAGATTTCGGGGCCATCCTAACATTCTCCTTTCCTATTAAGCCGCTCCCTTCTCTCCTGGTACTTCCCAGTCCCTCAACTCCTAGAAAGGTGGCTGTCCTACCGTTATTTAGGGTGAAAATTGCCATCTGGTCTCTCACTGTTCTGATCGAAATTCCAGCGTAACCTAGGAAGCATAGAAAGGCAAGGAATATCAAGGGTAAGAAGCAAATCTGAATTCTAAGTGGAGACATGCAGATCTAGCGATCTGAGAATGTCCGGTCCTGGAGATCTGGGAGGGCAGATGGTTGGGAGGAGAAGGTGCAGACTTTCCAGCAGTTCAGCCTCCCTCTGGGGTGCCTCTCCGGGCCCCACTACTAAAGGTTGCTTTGTGCTGTGTTGCACAGCAGAGCCCTGGCTGCCTGGAAAGACCCTGTGTCTTAGTGCAGAAATGCTTTACTGTGTTCCAGCCTCCTCATGGAGAGCCTGCTGTTATTTCTGGAATCCCTGGGGCCCAACACACGATCATGTATGGCCCTGTGGGCCAGGGAGGAGCAGGACACAGAAATCCCAATGGAAAGCATTTGCAGGTGGAAGGTCAGATAAAATGCTTTCTGTATGACCCGTGAATTTCAGGCTTCCGGAAATTAGAAGTATTTCCAGGCATACGGAGACACAAGAAGAGGTAAATGGTGGAGATGGAGACCCTCGAGGGAGAGCTTGTGGAGAGAGAGGGGCTCCACAGAAGGAGCACACACACTAAATTCTTTGTCACAAAGTCTAGCTTCAGCCGGCATATGGCCAGAGGACCATGGGCAAGATTGGCTGCTTTCTGTCCCCCAGTCCCTGAAATTTCTTTCATTCAACAAAATATTTATCATATAACAACTCAGATAAGTTATGGTTATCTGGAATCATGGTTGAAAACTGCTTCGAAACAATGACGTACTGTGAAATTACATTTTTGAGGGTTCAGAGGGGTCCTCTGCATATCTTTCTGTGCATGAAACAATTCAGGCTAGACAAAAATAAGGCTGTGAGTACTTCTCGTGCCAGGACACAGAAAAGCTAACATTCACTGAGTAATTACATGTGTCAAGCACTATTTTACGTCTTTTGCAAGGATAACTCACCCAGTCTGCCTAATGCAACCACAGAGTAGGTACTGTTATGGTCACCGTCTCATTTCACAGATGAGGAAAGTAGCACACAGGACGGACAAGTGTCACATACAAGGTCACACAGCTAAAGAGCAGTGCAGCCTGGATACCAACCCATGTGGTGTTGGTACCAAAGTCCACTCTTTTTTTCCAAAGTCCATTCATTTTTGTGTGCATTTGAGACAGGGTCTCACGGTGTAGTTCAGCCTGGCCTTGAATTCACGATGTAGGTCAGGCTGGCCTCAAACTCACAAGCAACCCTCCTGCCTCAGCCTCCCGAGTGCTGGGATTACAGGCATGTCTCACTAGTCCCAGCTCAAAATCCATTCTTGAACCTGTCCCACCAGGTCCCCACAGGGTTCCAGAGGGATTTGGGGGAGGATCTGACTACACTGTGTCCTCCCTCTGAGACTTGTGTCCTGGTAAATCTGAAACATCTTAAGCATCACACCCAAATGCTGGGAAGAACTGTAGGGAACAGACAGCTCACAAAGAAAGTACTGACAAGTTATTACCTTATTTATTTGAAGTTCTTGTTATTTTTCCTAAATTACCTGGTAAGAAGGAGCTGGCTAAAGCAAAAGGGAACACATGAAACTTGGACTAGACGACCCTGAATTCCTGCTGCTTGTGGTTTAACCTTGATCTTCTCTGAACAGGAAAAAAATAATCCCTAACTCAAAGGGCCATTGTAGAACAGAAGAATTATCACAGGGAAATGCTGGGGAGATAGAAGTGCCCAGTAAGTAGTAGAGTTTTTTCCCCTTTCCGTTTGTGACGGGGAGATTTCTGCCCTGCTGCAAAGTGACTTGGCATCTTATAAAATGTTAGCAAAAGCTCATGGCTCAAATCCTTGTTCTAATGGCATGCGGAATGGCTCCATCAGTGCTGGCTGCAGAATGAATGGGCCTCCCAGTCGGGTTTACTCTCAGAAGTTGTTTCTGTGGTTCATTTGCCCAGAGCATTGGCTCATCAGAGAGACTTTTTCCTCTCCTGCCACATGGCAGGTATTGACTGACACACAAACATCTGAGCGGAACTTCTCACCCAGATTTCCCATGTAACCACTGCCAGTGCTGCTTCTTCGAAGTGGATGCTTCAGATCCTCCCCTCCCCTTCCCACCTGGAGGTGCTAAATCAGATCCCAGGGTGGCAGGGACGGGTGAGAAAATCCAGAGAGCCTCCTGCGAGAAGTCTCCCGACACACTCCAGCAGGGTGCAGTGTGATGGTGAATTCCATGTCACCTTGGCTGCATCATGGTGCCTGACATTTGGTCAGACATTCTAGATGTTTCTGTGAAGGTGTCTGAGATTAGCACTGAAGTCGATGGGCTTTGAGTAAACTGACTACAAATGAGCCTCGTCCAATCGGCTGAACAAAAAGACCAGCCTCCTTTGAGCAAGAAGGAATTCAGACTGTCTTTGGACCCATCTGGGAACACTGGCTTTCCTGGCCCACCCTACAGATTTGGTTTTGGTTTTGGTATTTTGAGACAGGACCTCCCTATGTAGTCCAGGCTAGTCTTGAACTCACCATGTAGCCCAGGCTGACCTCAAACACATGGCAATCTTCCTGCCTCAGCCCCCTGAGTACTGGGATTACAGGCATGAGCCACCACGCCTGGCTCCCACCATGCAGATTTTGAACTTGGACTTGCCAGCCCCACATAACATGAGCCAATTCCTGACAATAAATTCTCCCCCTCATATACATTCGTTTTATGGGCTATATGTATTGTATTTCTCTGGTAAACCCTGACTAGTTCATCCAATAACTCCCTTCCCCACTCAACAAAAGATACAGATATCCTTTCTTTAAATATGTGTTTGTGACATTTGAGACATGCCTGTTGAGGGTATGTACAGGGGTTTTCATGCTTGCTTTTGTCTCCTCATGCCCCCTGAACAGCTTGGTGAACTTAGGTATTCTAACCCCACAGCACGGCTGGTTCAGTCAGTGCTTGGGAGAGTTCAGTCTGCTGCCCCAGCTGCTCTGGAGCTAACATTCAGAAACAGGTCAGCGTGATTTCAGTCTCCTACTGCAGCAAGCAGGGATTCCTATGTGCTGTGCCAGGAGACAGGAGCTCCTATTCCCTGGCCCGGGGACAGTGTTTAGTTCTTTGATATACAGCCACTGCTGGATGGCTAAGTATATATCTGCTGGTGAGTCAGTGGCGGATTTTATTTGCTCGTGGAAGCTCTGTTTTCCTGTTCCACGTATTTGTAGCAAGAGAGATGCCTCATTGTCCTTACACGTTTCTGTCCCCTCCTTCCTCACCTCCTCTGTGGACTGTGACTTGATCTCCATGTCCCTGTCAACTTCCCTGGCCCACAAAAGGTGTCCGAAAAGGGCTGCTTTGAGGGGGACCATAGAGGGGCTGTGTGCAGTTACAGCAGAGGTGGTACCATGCACTTACCACGTACCTAACCACAGACAGAGCCACCTGGACACTGTAGCAGACGCTCCTTAGACACAGGAGCACAGTGAGGACCTGGAAGCCAGCATGGGAGGTCCTGGCAGTGTCTGAAAGACTCATGCGTGTCATACAGTGATGCTTCTACACGGTAGACATAAGGAGTGCCCCTAACCCTCACTTGCAGCCCGGTGAGGCTCGGTGGCCTGCCTTCCAGCCCAAGACGTGTAGATGGGGCTCCCCACAAGGAGTTAGCAGATGACCCCCAGGAGTCACTCTGAAATCCGCTCCACCTGCTCGGCAGATGATTCCACGTAGAGGAAGAGCAGGAACCTGGAGCTGCCCAGGCCTGCGCCCTGGCTCACCGGGGACCCACA